AACCCGAGACTCCTCTACAAGGCTCGTGCCTTCGGCGCTAGCGATAATGCGCCCCCGTTACAAAAAATCTAGTTTCGGCCCTGTTTACGCGTCAGCGTAAACCCACCTTATAGAGGTTTGCTTTGTTACATTGACCGTGAAGTCAGTCTGCAAACGAGAAAAGGATAAAAGAAAGTGGGGGACTGTACATGTTACTCCCCTCTCTCTCCCCATTAAAACCGGAGAGTGATACCTGCAGAGGAGATCTCACAGTACCGGACAAATTTTCCACCGCCTGAAAAATTTGACCTGACACTTTCTTCATACGGGACTTTGAACTGCTAGACGTCTGATTTCTTTGTACGGTTAAGGTATTTCCGTGTGATCGAACAGAAAACCTTATCGTATAAACTTCAACCGGTCGAAAAATCGTCCTGCGCAGTGCCTTGTGAACATAATTCTACAATTATTTTGGGACTTCAATTATGAGGTTATACTTAACTCCAAAAAATATAGGACTAATTAGTAGGCTATTACAGCTCCAACTGTCAGAACTGTTTAGAACATTAACTGAAACGTCACGTTCACTCTTGCTCATAAAAGGGTGAGAAATTAAGGAAAAGGAACCATTTGCCGAGAATACATATGGAACTTGATTTGAACCGTTTTCACTGAAAGTTTATTCTTATTAATTATGATTCAAAACGTGTACGTTGAACAAAGAAACCCTTGACGTCAGTCTAGGCAATAAATCCGTTGCAAACTTGAGCAAAAAATTTTCAGCTTTCTTCAAGACAACCAACCAGCTCAGTATTTGTTGGAAAGGTAAGCGCTATGTTAGAAGTTGTTTTGAGAAAAAAACGACGATAAGCCTTTAAAACAATTCCTCTCCTCGCATGATCGCGAAGTCATCCTGCTAATAGTCACCGCCGCACAGTTAAACCTCACTGAATTTTGTCTTTCTTTTAAAGAGAAAATCTTAGTACATTGATACCTTGCAAAAAGGAAGAGTTAACAAGATACAGCCGGTTTTAATTTTCTATGTTCTTTTGTAACTAGAAATTTCAAAAATATCTTCATCTTTTTAGATTCTGAATAATACTAGATCGTTGGGTGTTTAAAAGTTCAACAAAGGATAAGTAAGAAGATACCAAGTAACAAACCAAATATTTGCAATGGAACAAAACAACAAAGGATGTTGACCACATGTTTTGAAGAATATATGTTTTGTTTGCTTCAAAACCCCTACCCTTAACACTAACATAAAAAAACAGAGTCGCTATAACAGGTTCAAGCTAGGATCTGTGCCCACAGGGTTCTGCATTTGGATCTCTCATCTGGAACATCTTGTAAAATGATTTGACTTATACTGTTGATGCGAACATGAATATGTATGCAGATGACCACCAGTTTTATGCCGTTGGCAGCACCCTCTCTGATGTGCAAGATGATCTTGCTGTTTGCTCTGAGTCAGCATCTTCATGGTACAGAGCTAATTTACTAAAGGGAAATTTGGACAAGTACCAGACAATGGCACTTAGTTGCGGAAGGGAGTCTATGGACAGTATTATGATTGACAATCATGAAGTCAAATCCACTGAATGTCTCAAGTTATTACGTGTCTGTATTGATTACAATCCTCGTTAAAATTAAGTATAAATTAAGTATAACAACAACAACAACAACAATAAGCTTTATTTGCATGACCATAACAAAGTATTACAGTATTGCAAAAGCTACTTGAAGTTACTCATTGATTCCTTGTAAATTAAATATTTAAAAATAATTTGAAACTTATTAATCATTGTTTATTTCTAACCATCAGTAGGATTAATTATTCCGGAGATAAGTTTGTCTCTCAATTCAAAGCAAGTTGATATAAATGAAATTAATTGGATGTTAATAAAATAGTCAGTAGAATTCATCAGATGTGATAATAAGGACTCATGTGATTGTAGTCGCAGAAACGGTATTTTAGGTTCTAGTTTAGAGAAGAACATATCTCTTATGAAAGAAAAACTTGGACAATCTAATAAAAAGTGAGTTTCATCTTCAATTCTGTTACAATTGCAGAGATTGCATAACCTTTCGTCACGTGGTAGATTGTCGTATCTACCTGTCTCAATCCTAAGTTTGTGACTGCTTATTCTCAGTTTCACTAATGTTTTCCTAGAAGGGTTCTTTCTTGTTAAATCTAGGTAGACAGAAGGGCTATAATTCGTTTTGATTTTATAATAAAAGTTAAGTTTTTGTGAATGTTGAAGGGTACGATTCCAGTAAGTGATATATTTCTTTTGCATAAGATCTACATATTGCTTAATTTTACATTTATTCAGTAAATTACAATTAAAGCCTGGGAAATCATAGAAGTCAGTCATCTTCTTAAGACTGGAGTAAAAACTATTTTGACCACTATGATAAAGGTCAACAGATATGTTTAAAGATTGTTTAACTATAGAATTTTCATCTTTTTCTTGGAGATAGTTTAAGTAATTAAGTATCTTGTTATTTATATCGATGATCAGAGGGAATCTGCCAAGTTTAGATCTGCATGCAACATTGGATGCTTGTTATGGACTTCTAAATATCGTTTACAGAAGTGTGGCCGGGCAAATGAGTTTTTTCGATTCCAGAGTTATCCCATGACTTAAAATCTGATTTCACAAAGGCACCCTAAACTTCACTATTATAAGTTAAAATCGGAGAGATCATCGTGTCAAAAATTTTATTTGCAAGGGAGGGTTTCAGTTTACTAAATCAGTGTGGCGTCTTAGACTAAATAGAGCATGAAGGGCTTTTTGTCGAAGGTGTTCAAGTGAGAGTGTAAAATTTCCGGGAGACGAGATGCGAGTCCCTAAGTAAGTGTAGTCTTTTACAATGTCTATCACTTCATTGCCTTCGTGAAAAACATAATCACACTTTTTGTGCCTTTTTGGAAAACCATTCCATCCAGGAGTTGCAGACAATTTGTTTAGGCAATTTTGTAATCCTAGTTTCGATCGTGATAATATAATAAGGTCGTCAGCATAAAAAAAGACAATTGAGTTTGGTGCCATTTGGTAGGACAAACGGATCAGATAAAATATTGTTGAATGAAAAAGCTAGATCATTAACGTATAGGTTGAAGAGAAGAGGGCTTAAAATGTAGCCTTGACGCACACCTCTAGTGTATTGAAAAGGTTGTGTTTGGTTATTTCCAATCCTAATAGAACAGGTAGAGTTTGAGTATAAACTTTTTATGATTGTAAACTGTAAACTGTAAACTTTTTATGACTATAAACTGTGCAATCATGACTTCACTATACCCAGATTCAACACAGTCTCCTTTGGAAAGCACTCGCTCAGGTATATGGGCCCAAAGGTATGGAGCTCTGTTCCTAGTAACGTGAAAGATGCTTCCACGTTGTCCTCCTTCAAGTATAACATCAGAAAAGTGGATCTTAGCAGGCTATTAGATGACAATAACTGCTCTAACTGCTCTCTTTGCATTTCTTAATTTTTTATTTCTTATTTTTTTTATAAGATAATGGATACATTTGTACATATTGTATATATATAGTTCTCTCGAATTTCCTATTTGCTTATACTGTACATAGTTTTTCTTAATTTCTTATTTCTTATATTCTTTTTTTTTTTCATTTTTTCATTAATTACTTAATTTATTTATTCTTTTTTAACTTATTTTAGTGTCCCGACTTAGTGGTTATACACCGCTATTACAGTTTTGACACTTTAAATAAAGGTATCATCATCATCATCATTAAAATAATTGTGGTTAAAAACCTATAAACGGTTACAGGAAGCGAACGGAAAGCACAGGTTGAGAGGCTGTAATGAAAGATTTTGTTCGTTCTACGTACTGGAGTCATTAAAAAGGAAGTTCATATTGACAACAAGTTTATCTCAGCGACAAATTTTCTTGTTTACACTATGGGAGGTCTTAAAAACAGGCCTACCGTTCGGTTAATAACTTGGTTAATCGTTGCAAAAGGAAGACGAGTTGTAGTAGCGAGTTTTTTTTATCGGACTTCGTATACCAAAAAGCTTAGAAGAAGTTTCTTCCATCATTGGCTTATTCACTCAAAGATATTTTCGTGCTACGCTAACTTGGAAGTTGATTGACTTTTATTGGCACAATTAGTGTGCGATACGATACAGTCTCTTTGCGAGTATTTAATGATTTATTCAAGTTTAACGTGGGAAATATTCTTGAAACCTAACCGGGGGGGGAGGGTACTCCCTACAATAGCCTATACGGGGAGGCTCCGCCCGAAAGGAATGCCTTATTTGGGCTTCATGTATATAAAAGGGTGGGGATTTACTAGCTAAAGTGTATGAAAAAATAGGGAAATCAATCATTTCGGTCTGTAAAAAAGGCCCGAAGGGCTAACAAATTCATTTTATGGCTGTGAAAAGGTAAAAAATAAAACAAAAAACAAAAAACGTTCCAGTTTTGTGATTTATTCATAGTTTAAAGGATATTGGATCAGAACAGCAGTTAAAAATGTATGAAAAGATCCAAACTATGTATGTGATAAGGGTACCTTTTCTGTCAATAGTATACAAAAGGGAAAGGGCCTTGGACCTACTTCCCTATAAACCGTTCTTGAGTACTCCCCTCCCCAATGACAAAAAACTTTCTACCTGGCGATCAGTTACTTCTTAGTGACTCGCAGTTCAATGAGCGCCAACAATAACAGCTATTAAATTCACATATATTTTTTGCCCTCAGTTTCCGGTCAAGCAACTCAACGTACTCTCCCCTCAACCGCTGCTTTTGTTTTTTCTTTCCACAGGTGAAAGGATGGGCTTCATTTCAGCGTTCACAAAAGTATCAAGAAATTAAAGTTAAGGTGAGCTCTCTATCGAAGAATTGTTGTTAATTTACAATCTCCATTCTTGACATTTAAGAATTCGACGTCAACCCTCTTTAGTTCACCTTCTAACTTTCCTTTTTTAACTAACCAAACTTTATTCGATTTCTTTTTTAAGGGAGGAGAAAAGAGAATTAAAAGAAAACAATGTTCTCCAGGGGGATCTCTTCAGCCGAGTGCAGCACATGGTATGCTGTATCCCTTACTATAACTGTTGCTGTGGTCGCAGTGAACCTCCTATCAATTATTCTTTTTATAAAGAACAGTAATCTTCGCACTCGTGCCATGTACTTGGTTATAAACTTGACCGTGGCTGATGTGTTTGTTGGTGGAGGAGCCACTTTCGCTATAGTATTTCATTTCCTCCTCTACGGTTGCGAAGTTGGAAATAAATTCAGATTCCGCTCTAAACAGTTTCTTACTGCGCAGGAATGGCAACCTTTTCTTGTGCTTCTCATGATCGACATCTGGCTTTCTCTCACCTCGGTAGCAGGCATTGCAGTAATTTCTTTAGATCGGATGCATGCGACGTTTCGTCCATTTAGGCATCGCAACATCAAAAAATGGGCCTACGGGGTAGCAATTGGTGGCGTCTGGATTTTAACTGCAATGTTAATTCCCTTTCCGTTAACACGTCTGGATGGAAACTTACACTCGTACTTATGGCTGTCATATCGTTGCCTTTGCCTTTTTGTTATCTTTATTTCTTACACCTCCATTGCTTTAAAATTTTGGTGTGGAACCCGTCCTCCGTCCCATGGTGCAGCCAATAGACAAAGAAAACTGACTGTGACATTATTCATAATGACCATTATATCTTTGCTGCTGTGGTTACCATATGTTGTATATAATTTTGTTCCTTTTTCTGTTCTAGATACTAGGTTTTCTTTCCTGACATATGTACGCTTGAGATTATCTTTTACTCTTCTACGCCACACAAACTCGCTTGTTAATCCCATTATTTACACAATCAGGATTCCAGAGTTCAGAAAAGCTCTCCTGATATTATTTAAAGGTCGACAAAGACAAAATGTTGTTATTCCTCTTCATGCCCGTTAGCACCAAAAGGGAATTCCTGAGACGTCCGCACATTTTTTCGATTGTTTAAACACCAACAACATGGCCCCCCGCGTGACTGCCTCAAAGCAAACAATGGAGAAGATTGCAGACCTCTCCGGACACCAAATTGTGATTAATTTCAAGCGTTTAATTGGACTAAAAATTCTTCGGAGAAAGTCACATGTCCCAACAAGAGCCATAATAGGACTTGGTACCAATCAAGGGCGTGACTGGGCGCTCTTTGTCCTTTTATTCTCTCTTGGTAACACTTAATTGTAATTTCATAATGATGACAAGTCAAAAACAAGAGGGAGGAGGGAGAAATGACCCTTCAAATAAGCTACAAAATAAGTTTTGTGAAGTTTAATTACTAACTTTAATTACTTAAGACATTTTCTCCTTTTTCTGTGGTTGTTGTACGGGGCCACAAGTTTTGCCTCTTTGAGCTACGTAATTACTGCGGTATGTGCAAATGAAGTTTTAGCAATGATGGAGAGGTTGTACATATTAGGCTAGCTATGGTCACACTATACTGGATAGCTTTTGTGTTGCCACGAAAATCATACCGGATAGGGATTCTGTTGATACACATGAACGATGATTTCGACGCGATTTCCATGACGGAGCGAAACTGCGTCACGCCGATCTCTAAAGTGGAGATTCACGTATTGGATACATTAGGTGTTTATACTTTGCCAAACAGAGCTTGTCGTGTTTGGCTTACTTTTGACTACTTTAGTTTGCCATCTTTTTATGTATTATTTAGCAATCCTATTGAGATGAAGTAGTCCGGGGACGTTTTGGAGCTGTTTAAGTCACTTACAGCACGTGTTTTAAACATTAAATCCACTATTCAGCTAGTCTTTTCTTGGCATTTTTAATCAGTATAAAGTATGCTACATAAACAGGGAATTTCCTAGTTCCAAAAGGGCAGCTCTCACTTTTCAAACAAGCGAGGCTAAGATTAGACTCCTTTTTTCGATAATAAGTTTAGCTTGCATGAGAATAACCATTTATTTTCTTCCAAATCATTTTGCTTAATTTGAAACAGAGGCGGAAATGGCCGATTAATCTTGTACATTTACATTCAGAATGATTTGTTATCAAAGCTCTTGTTGTTATACAGGTTTCAGTGTAAATTACGTCCTTTTTTCTACTTTCTGAAGCACTACTACGTATGTAGACTGGAGAACAGTCGGCGTTTTTTTTTTTTTCATAATCTGTTTTTGCAAAAACGCGAATGCCCGGCGTGGGATTTTCGCGAAAAAAGTGCGAGCCTCACACACCCTTAGGCCCAGTCCCACTCTCCGTTTGCACCCTCTCGCTCCAAACGTTTGGTCTGACCGCTCACGCGCGCGTTCTTAACCTCTGGAAAAATACGAGCTGTTTTGTAGTCTAATACGTATGTGGCCATTGATCAAATATAACAGAGTATATAAAATGAAGCCAAGATCATGTTGCTTTGTACACCTTAACATCTATTTTATAGGGCTTTCTAACTGTTGCTAGACTTTCTAAAATGTCTGTGTCTGTAAAGTAAACCAATTTAGAGCCTTCAATAAACGTACTATTTAAACATGATTTTACCAGTGGTGTTTTCCGTGATCATGACTTTTTAATAATAGCTTAGGTCACTGGAAAAGGAAAGAATATTACGAAATGGGAATAATACTTTTACACTGTAGTATGGCAAACTTGTCAGGTAACTCTCAAAAGCGCGTAATTTTTTGGTCAATCTGAGACTATTACTCCTTTACTGTCATGAAAGATATTATTCATCGTTGTGTGGTGTATAAAGGGTCCGGTTTTATCGTTTGTCTTACGATTATGAAAGAGATATACGCCATCACGAACTCAACTCTCAGCACTTTCTGAACACGACAATAAGACCGGACATTATCCGCTTTGGGATGAGGTTAAGTTTAGTGACCGAGACCCTCACTGGTACTCTGACTCGTGTCTCGTAGTATCACTGCAGTTCGCTGAGGGAACAGTCTCTTCCCCTAACAATGCCAACACTAGTAGTGGAGGAGGGACCGGTTACGCCGGTTCTTTGCGGATTTAATTAACTTTTTGTGCGGTATAAATTAACGTAGATGACGTCATGCATCTCATTAAGATGGGATGATGTCATAGTTTATTTTTAGCTGGCAAAGAGCAAGTGATGTCAGAATTTCCTAGAGTTAACGTCATCAAAAAAATTTTGAGATCATAATCTATAAATAGAAAAGTGATATCATCTCCCTACTTAGTCATGATGATGTCATATTTATCCATTATCTTTGCAGATTATACTAAATGAAAAATCTTTAATCATTAAATTATTTTCACTAAAAATCGGTTATAAACAAAACCAAGACACGAAAGTTAACTGAAAAAGAAGGAAAAAGGAGGTTAAGCAAATGCGAAATCGTACAAATTTTTCAGGCAAAACATGAAAACGAGGTCGAAGCTCAGCGAAGTGAAAAACTGCCTATCAAGCAAAAATGTCAATCTTTGTTTACTTGACTCTGTAGAAAGTATTGCACAGGGTATGAAAATTCTATAGAAAACAACAGGTGGTTCTAAAATAAACCCTAGCTCTTTCGGTTCTTAAATAAAC